ACAGTACGCTTTACGCGTGAGTCGAGATTCAGCATGGACACTGATTCTATATCTGGAAAGAGTCTAGAACACGATACCCTTCTTTCCTCATCAGGAATAAGGATCGTTACGGTGGTGGAGGTGGAATCGTTTGGCCAGGCATTATGTTGGACGATCACACACACCTGCGTTTGTTTGATAAGGCTCCCTGATTGCTATGAGATATAGAGAAAAGATCTTAGAGCACTATGTTCGACCTTTCAAGAGTGCAGTTAACTCTAGGTTCCTGTTGATGGATGGCAACGCTCTTCCACATAGATCTTAGCCGTAGGACGATTACCTGGAAAGTGAGCATATTTGCTGCATAGATAAGCCAGCCAGATCTCCTACTATAACCCGATACAGCATGCCTGATACACCTTTTGGGAGAGCAATTTTATTTTTCATCTTCCTCTGAAAACTATGTCGGAGTTGAAAACTGTTTTGCTGCAGGAGTGGGATGAATTGTGTTAGGGACTCTTGCACTTCCTCCTGACCGGTATGCCATCACGAGTTCGATATCATACTGTTGATTTTGAACACCTTTCACTGTGAGCTTTACTAACAACCATGCGTACATAAAATGAATTTTAAATGATGTATCCCTTTCTCTGTTATGATGTTTCTCTGTTATGAATGTGTATTCGTACCGAATTTCATTAAAATCTCTTCATCAGTTTTTAAGAAATTCGACATAATATGCAAATTCTGTTAATTTTATACACTAGTGTGCATATATACATACTGTAATAATCAATAAAAATGTAAGTTACCATAATTAATATCCTTCTCTAGGAAAACGTACTCTCTAGGAAAACTCTCTCTTTTGATTTTTTACTTCCTTGTACGAATTAAAAAGGAAGTATTGTAATCGCGAAAATTTTCAGGCAGTATATTTCAACGAAAATATCCATATTGACCACTATTGGATACAATTTAACGATGTTTTTTCGTGACATTTGTACGTAAGGACAGAATAAAAAACTCTTTTCCTCCAAAAAAATTATAAAACTGCTTTAAAATGAATTCTGAAGAGAATTTTTCGTGGCGTTTATACGAACGTATGTACGTACGTAAGTATCTCGCATAACTCAGAAACGAGTAGCCTCAGAACGTTGAAATTTTGTACATAGGACTGCTATAACATGTAGATGTGCACCTTGTATTTTGGTTGAAATCGACCGCACCAAACGTATATAAATATATTTATATATATATCCCCTCTGTTACCCGGCTCAGTGATCTCAGTTTATTTACTCTTATATGTTTATAAATTGTACATTTTTTGCTTTAAAAATGATTGAATTATGTTGTTCTTATCTTCCGGTTAAGGTTTTATGCCTTTAGTAAATCTATGTGCAATGTTTTTAGAATTATCAACAATTTTAAATTTGTTTAAGGGCCGCTAAGCCTTTTTTCTGACGGCGGCCATTGATTGTTTACATTCGAAACAGCAGACTAGTGGATTTGTTTCCAATCTAGAGAAACTTAGCTTCGCAACAACAAAGATAACGCATTCATTTATTATTGCCAATTAAATCATGCTTAATCCTTTCTGGAATTTTTTCGAGGAAATAAGTGTTTTAGATTTACTTCGTAATTTTAATAGAGATATTTTGAGTTTTTTATGTATTTTTGCCTTCTTGCGGAGTGAGAACTGAACTGAGAAATACTCTGCTGTGTGTTGAAACTGTTTTTTTTTTGTCTTATTTGCTTAATTTCTTTTACACACCGTCTAGCTTTATTATAGTATTTAGATTGAATAGAACGTGTGGCGACGATTAGCTAATTTTGTAAGTTAAGATATAAATTTTTGGTGTTTTCTAGTAACGCTGGGTAAGCTGTTAAGTCAACCTAGGGCCAGAGTACCGCTATGGTAAACAAATATAGTGAATTTTAAAGAGTGCATTTATTCTATTGTGGTTTATGCGCTGTCGACGAAGTAGATTTAATCAACCCAATAAGTTTAAATGAAGTGCAAGAAAAAATGCGTATAATTTAATATTCCGTACAAGGAAGTCATGTGGTGTACACGTCAGATTTTTAATTAAGTTTTACAGAACTTTGCGCAATATTGATAATAATTATTAATTATTTCGAATTTCTGATCTGCAAGATATTTTTACCAATAAGATTTGCATTTTATAACGCATATACTGAATTCATTTTTAATGTATATCCCCAAGGAGGTTAAGTTTCTAATTTGAATTTTGTTTTTGATAGTTTCTATACGTATCTGACTGTCAATTGGATTTCAGCTTCCGGTTTAAATTTATAACGTCACTGAACAAGTATTTTATATTAATTTACTTTTATTTCGCTTTTGATTTGAAATTATTAGCTTCTTTTATGATTTCCTATTACTAAGTTTGCTACTATGGTTGGATATTAATTCTACGTAATTTAACTTGATTAATTTCGCAGTAGTTTTTATGCCATTAATAATAATTACTAATTATTACTAATTTAATGAAATTTCTGATATATCTATATCTATCTACCTATATACTGACTGTCAATTGGGTTTCAGCTTCCGGTTTAAATTTATAACGTTACTGGACAGGTGTTTTATATTAATTTACTTTTATTTTTCTTTTGATTAAAAAATATTTGAAATTATTATCTTCTTTTATGATTTTCTATTACTAAGTTTGCTGCTATTGTTGGATATTAATTCTACGTAATTTAATTAATTTCGTAGTAGTAGTTTTTTTTTTTTATTGCCTAATTATAATTGAAATTTCTGATATATGAAATGTCTTCATTATATATATCTGTCATCTATACACTTGCCCATTAAAATTGCGACACCATGAAGGAAAGCAAATACAAAAAATATATTTATTGCGCGTAAACTGTATGGCATGAAAACAAAATGATTAAATTTGTAACGAATTCGGAGGTTTAAAGGGATGCGAATTTAGTAGAAAGGCTAAAACGGCCCCTGGCAGTTAAAACGGCCCTTGCCTGGAGTTAGGCATGGAGTCAAACTTGGCTTAGATGACAGAAATGGGCATCTCATTCCATGCTGGTTCAAGTCTATGTCACATTTCATCAACCGTATTGTTGGAGAGAGGTGGCGGGCCAGTCTCTCAGCAACCCATGACCAGATGTTTTCAGTGGGTGACAGATCTAGAGATCGCGCAGGCCAGGACAGTAATCGAATACCCTGTGTATCAAGGAAGGTCAGAACACGATGTGCAACATGTGGTCTTGGATTATCTTGTTGGAACATGGCGTTTGGGGGCCTAAAAGATAGAGGCCAACCACTGGACGTAAGATGACAGAAATGTACCCATCAGCGTTTAAATTACCATAGATCTGAATTAGAGATGTGCGTGTCGTGTACCCAGTAGCTACCCAAACCATCACACCAGGTGCAGGCGCCCTATGCAGATATCGAATGCAAGCGGGCTACGTGCGGTCTCCTCAGACGCTCCAGACACGTATACGGCCATCAGAATTCTACGCGTAGAACCGGGACTCGTTTGAAAAGGCGACTTGTGCCATTTCTGTACCCAGCTTTGTCGTTTGGCGCACCAGAGTCGCCGTCTTTCTCTATGCTACATTATGACATTACTTCTCTACTATTTACATTATGACATTACTTCTACTACTTACATTATGACATTACTTCTTACATTATGACATTACTTCTAATGGTCACCCTGCTGATAGTCAGAGCTGCTGCAAACGTCGACGCACTTACGAGCGGATACTGGGCATGCTGCAAACATGCCCATTTCCTGACTAATGGTCCGTGATGTGGTCGTACGGTTTTCTAGGGCTAACCTCGAAATATGTCTGTCCTCTCTGGCATTGTCATAGGAGGGCGTTGAGATCCTGCATGCCGTTCAGTATTACTTTTAGCGAACCATCGATTCCATATTTGCATGACAGTGGTTGGATGTCGACCATTGCGACCGGCGATATACCGGAACGATAATCTACACTTTCGATAGGCCACGATCATGCCTATATCGAATTTCGAAACTTGTTGGTAAGCATGTCCTCTTCTTATTCGAGGCACAACACGATATTCTAAGCAAACTCCAACCTTGCAGAGCACTTTCCGAAATGAGAAGTAAACTGCACAACTTTTCTTTTATGCAGTGTTTCAGATGTCGTTTCTCCCTCCTGTGTCGTCTAAAATGCGCTGAAATACTAATTAGTTGCATATCCGAACTTCTTCCTTTCATGTGATTTTGGCGTTCGTCAGATCATTCATTCCTGGTGTTGCAATTTTAATGGCCAGCAAATATATTTATATATAATGTTTTCATATTTTTCTATTGATGATTGATTGTCGAAACAGATCTATGGAGAGAAAGAGCATAACTTTTCAAGCGGAAATTCTTTTTATGTTGACTTTTAATTTTATTCAGTAGAATAGAAAAATAATAGTATAAAATTAATAGAAACTTTTTTTTTACTTTAGTGTATATTTAATATATCGATTAGAGGGGAGGAATTGAAATCGAATTTCTTCCTTTTCAAGGTGGGGATGTTCCGCGGTTAAAAAAGATTTAGTTTTATGAATTGACAACAGTAAATAATTTCATTTTAGAAGAGAAACGATGGTTAGTTTTTTACAATATATTTTTAATCTTTTTTACATTTTTGTTTTTAAAAACGTTTAATGATAAATGCTTTCCGAAGTGTTAGATTGTTGTTTGTATTTTTCAGATAGCAACTTAATTTTTTGTGAATATTTTTATACAATTATATTAATTCCTTTCTAGAAATGACCGTCACTAAATAATTTATTTAACAATGATTTGCTTAATAAAGAAATTTCATAACCTAGAAAGTAGTCTTAACTGCCATCTTTCCATTGCGAGTATCTGCTTCCCTAATAGCTTCCACTTCTCCCGTAATGTTCAGGAACCTGTAAATGCATTATGCCCCGACATAACAAACCGCTTGTTAAGGGGTTGCTTCATTGTCATCCTAACTTAACTGTTCTTCCTGTTTGCTTTCAGGGCGACGAGAGTATCGACTATTACGGACAGAGAAGACGCACCAAGAGGGAAACAGCAGAATGCATTTGTCCTCCAGGTAAGTCCATTTCCTCGCTGCCTCATCATTATTACCCGGCTATTAATCTTTGACTATGATTCTTAGCGCCAGATGATGAGGGTTATTCTTCACAGTACTTCCGTCAGTTAGGATAGGAACGCTGACAATAGCCTACATTATTGTAGTAGATTCTAGGGTAGAGTATATAGTACCAGTAAATGGTATAGCTATGCGAAGGGTAATAGCCTATTATTATGATTTTGTTCATAGAAATTATTGGGAATTAGTGAAGGTCAAGGGCTTAAATAAATGTATTGAGTGCTTTCATTTTAAATCACTGCTTAATCCTGGGTAAATTTTGCCGATTATTTATATATTTGTTTCTTTATTTTATGCGTGTATTTTAGAATTCCATTGTAATGAATTAGAATAAATAAAAATTATGAAATCTCATTCGTAATACATATATGTGCATGCTGCCCACCATTGGCAGAGTGTATAAGACTGCTGAACACTGGTTCAACCCGGATTCAAATCGCAAAATCAAATTTTAGAAAAGTCTTTGTTTTTTATTTTGAATTAGGGAATCGAAGTTGCAGATGCAGCTGAGCTTCAGTTAATGTTCACTCCTCATTAGCTGATTGTCCCTGAAATCTTGGGGGTCCGGGTTCGAATCCAGCAAACGGGCTTGCTGCATGGGCATTTTCGTAGTTTTCCCCATACAAGCTAATTTCCCTTAGAAAATCATCCACGAAGGATTTCTTTCCTTAGGCAGATAGCCTTGCAGTGCTTTGTCATAATTAAATAAACCAAATCAAACCAGTATCCCTGGACCCTTGGAGCTTGAGAGAAATGCATTTCCGTTTAGCGGAGTTAACGAGAGAACAATCTATGTATGTTCATAGCAAAAAAAAAAAAAAAAAAAAAGTGTGGATGTTTAAATACGAAAAAAAATATTACAGTAAAAAGACCTATTCTCTTTAATTTCCATTCAGAATATTCCCCTTCACTTTTACCCTTTGCTGCACAGTGTGTCCGGTCTAGAAACACCTAAAATTTCCTTCTGTACGCGCAAAGAAATTGAATGAAAAGGATTTAAAGGTTACTATAGGTTACTATAGGTTACTTTGAACCTTCTTTATTTATAGTAGATGGCAGCTCAACACAAACCAGTCCATATATTTTAGCCATGTTTAGGTTTTTAAGACCCTCATTTTTCAAAGAAATCTTCCAGATTTTTTTTAGGATATAAAAGGAATTGTTTGAAAAGAAATTTCTATGTTATTTTTTTGGCTGTATACTAATCTCCTTATTCTATATTACTTTTAAATTTTTACCTTGAAATCTTGCCTAAAATCAAACGGCGAACCCTAGGTGTGCCCAGACAGGGCGCACCGATAATCTGGGACAACTGAAAGTCTGTATGTTTTCGTTTCTCCGCATCTCATCGGTCAGTTCATTGACAACAATGCTCGTTTCAGCACTCTTTTCGAAGCTCTATTCAATCATTGTGCCACTTTGGGCACATCCATAGAATTAAAATGATAAGTGCTATCTTCACAAAATTTTACTTGTGTACTTCTCCAGGCCTAATTAGACTGCCTACCCCCCCTTTTTTTAATCAAAACTCGACTTTAAGAGGTAGCGTGCCGGAAAGGGTTAACTGCGTTAATCCTATTCTTCTTGAAATTTTCTGATGGCATTTTCGAAATTCTCTATCATAACTTGCGTTGTCGTGCCTATCTTGATATCCTTAATGTATTTAAAATATGTAACCTTTCTAGAAGATCGCTGAATGCAGGTAGTTTAACCTTGCACCTTCGATACCAGGCGAACGGTATGGCTATATATGGTTGGTTTTTGTGGCTTTCCCTATGTGAAGACGAACCAGTTCCTTTTAGAAAGTCCTTCACGAAGGCATTCCTCTCTTAAGCAGATAGCTTTTGTGGCTTTGCCATATTCAATTACCATAATCTACATTTTGTAAAAGTTAATAGTTGTACGATAAAATATCTGGCTAGCAATACGGTATTATGTTTTTATTTGACAGACATAAGTGAATCTCCCGTTAGCTGACACTTATGAAGCGAAACCTTTTACCCCTATCAGAAAGTGTTATTTAAATGGGAGTGCTTTAGTATCTATTTCGAGGGGATTCAGGATCTGTCCTCTGATGTGAAGTGTCCGCTAAACTGATGGTGCATATCAGCGGCAGTTCGACTTTATTGCCGTATTAGAAGTGATATATGACAAAGAAATTGTCGTAATGGAGGATGAAACAGTTTGCCCTTATTTAAGCTCATTTGTTACCCACAGTACTTCTTAAATTCTATAATAAGTACTTACACCATTCAGAGTCCATTATAGTGTTTTTGGATATAGTATTATCGAGTTCTAAAACACAGTGCGTATCATTTCGATAATGGATTGTGACTGGGCGAAACAGACCTTCGTACCACCCTTCTCAGCAATTTTCAAAGTCACTTTACTCTCACTGTAAACTAGTTTTACTTTCCATAGCACATTTTTGTAGTTTTGTCGGGTGAAAAGGTCGTTTTAATACATTATTCGTAATCCACGATTTACGGCATACTATTTATATACACCTTCTGTCAACCCCAGTTCCTAATTTAGTAATTTCACAGTACAAACTAAAAGTCGTAAGATATTTTTAAGAATTATGTGTAGCATTACATACTGAAGATGTTGGATAGCATTTAATAGCCTTATTTGCATTTGTTATCAACTCTTGCGTACGTATATTAAAAAAATTAAAATGAACGTATGACGTGAAAAATGTTGCAGTAACTACCCCAATGGATAACTTTTATAGTCTGAAAGATGTATATTTTGCATAATAAGACAACGTATTTAGGAAGTAGAAGAATGAGAACTTCTTTTTTATGCCCTGTGTTATGCAATAAAGTTAATGAGTCTGCAGGGCTGGCTAAGGCGAAAATCAATCGCAGGGTCTCTAAAACGTGTTTTCTGAAAACTTCCAAAATATCGCCAAGCTTGGTAAGAAGTCACTAAATGTCACCCATTTGAGAATCAAAATTCATAACCAAGCCCATGTAGGTATTGGCAGTATGTACTTCTGGTTTTCCTAAGCTATTTTTAAAATTAAAACAGCTCTTTAATGAGAATTATAATTATTACGAAATAATTAAGTAATTAAAAGCTCGCAAATACCGCTTGCAGGTTGAAGACTGCACAAAACATACGATAAACAACTGTAAAATTGCCATAAAATGTATTAAATAAATAAATAAAACACAATGATAAGCTAAAATTCCATTATAGAGCAAAATATTAAACAAAATCACAAATATTTACCTAAATTACGAGAGTATTGCAGATTAAAGTTTCTTTGTCGCTTATTTTTACATTTTTAATATCGCTGAAACTCTTATTTTTTCCCTTCTTACTGAAACCCTAAAATTAATCTTTAAAGATTTCACGAAACCCAGGTTAATAACCTCTGCGTATAACAATTAACTACGGGCAAGAAGGAAAGTAGTTATTTAATATTTGATGTACCGCAGACTTTTCGATTTATCTCGTAATCACATGTTTATAAAATTTACTCATCGTGAACAGAATTTCTTGGAGCTGTAGAGTGTTCGAGTTTTATCTATTTGCAGATGGTTCGTTGAAAGAAACGCTACAGCCGAAAGTAACATGTGTTTTCTAAACGCAGGGGCGATTTCATCTGGTCAGGAACTCGAACGCAATTCCTTTATGGCGGGTAGAAATGTGAAAAAAAAAGTATTTCGCCTGATAAATGGTTGTTTCACATTATTCTTTAGCGTTGCATAGAGCATTTTTTGGGTAGTATTGTACTTATTCAGTAAAGCCTTTTCAATATTTTAAACCCGGGGCTTCCAACGGGGTCACATTCGACCCCAGACGGTCGTTGAAATTATAATTATTATTTATATCGATTATGTATTAACAATTTTGATTGTCTTATTTAAAACCGCATTCATAAAAAATTAATAAAATTGGTAATTAGTTTTTTATTGATATTAAAGTCCATAAAGTAAAGAAGAAATAATATAAAATAATATAAGAGGAAAAATACACTAAAACTATTTAATATATTTTAAACTCAATACTATTTTTTAAGCATATAAATTCTTTTATGCAGCACGTGCAGTAAAAAAAAGTAAAATTCAAAAATACAAGAAAAAAAAATCGCGCAACCAAAAAATTGGAAGAACATAAAACTAGAATGGAAAACAAGAAACAATTTGAATATTTTTGAACGAGGTGGTTTAAAAATTAAGTAGTTTTATGTCAAATATCAAAGCTATTACATCAATACCTTAAGCGCAGCTACATATTCATTAAAATCGAACTTTTGCGCTATTAGAATATGATTTTATTTCTGAAAACTTGCTTATATTTGTAAAATTAAATAATAATAGTAGTAATACAAAAATAATTAAAAATATTTTTTCAAAACTTTTGCTCATATTCTTAATCTAATTATTAAGTTATTTATATGCAGCAATTTGTATTATGATTACCATGTACTCTGTATATTATACAGAAAAATGTAAAGGGATCGGTGACGAAAAAAATATTCCTTTGATGCAAGAAAAAGGTTGGGAATCCGTGTTTTAGACAGTTGTGTACTTATATTATAGTGCTATCAATTTACCATCCATGAGCTTGGTAAGTGTTACCGCTGCGCGAAACAAGGTTTTTATTTCTATGCTGCCGCGTACCAGTTGTCTACGTGTTTCCACTCGATGAATCTAAAAGATTAAAATTACTTTTACTGAAATTAAAATTAATTTAATCTTCAAACCCGATAGATGAATTTTCATCTCGCCATCTGGTTAGCAGAATATCGGAATGCTGTATAATCATATCATAAGAACAAAATTAAGCAACTAAAACTCATTGCGGACTTTGAAGTGCGGATCATATTTAACACAAAATTATTTCCACTTCTCGAGGGGCTAACAGACAACGTATAAATTGAGACTATCAGTTATTTCCAAATTAAAATCTAACCTAGCTCCTGGGTTGATGAATTTCACGAATCAGCTACGTAATATGCAGCACTAAAAGGGAAAATCATCAGCTCAGAGATTTATAAGAGGCCTGTCAGGTACAATTTGAGGAATTGCTTAAAGGTCATTGA